AGCAGTTTGGCTGTGGTGTCCTAAACCCTAAACCCCTAAACCCTAAACCCTGAACTGAGTAGTGACCAGTGGTGACCTGGGGTTTTGTGCTGGTCTCTTCGTTTTGTCTTGGCGCCCTGTGGCCTCCTGGTCTCCGCGTTGTGTGCCGGTGGTCGTGGTCGTCCTGGTCCAAGACTTACGAGGCTTGCTATAGAGGCCTTAATGATCACTAATCAATGATTACCTATACTCTCTTGGGGGGTCCCTTATTCTAATTGTAATTTTGGTCTTAGTATGATTTTGCAGATGGTCTTAGTGCCCCTGACACGCGGGCAAAGCTGTGGCTTCTTAAAGCATCAAGACCACATACAGAGCAGCCAAGCCCCAAGACCAAGAAGGAGTCGAAAAAGCTGCAGAGCTCCATGCAGTCCTACGAGACTCCTGAAATTCCCTGCGTCGCCAGCGACGCTCCTCTAACAGAAGTTGCAGACAACATAAGAAGCTCAGAAATTGATGGTGTTCTTCCTAGAGCCTCCCTGCGTATAGGTTGACCAATCGAGGTACGACAGGAGCATTCTGCGTTCAAGCTTCGCATGTTAGCAAGTGACTTCGCTGCCAGCACCCGAAAACACAGACGAAGACTGTCATCGAGCAGCACCAAGTCCACAAATTACGAGCTCAAGTCTTGACACATGGATTGCAGTCATGGTGCTTGGCAAGTTCGCCAAACGGAACCGTCGAAGCCACAAACAGTGTAAATAGCTAGTACATGCATTGCGTGGATCGGACTCATGTGGCGATGGATCTGGACCACCGTCTGCTGCAGCAGTGGACGCCGTGTCCACCGCTACAAGGCCTGCGCATGTGCCACAGGTTCCGCCTGGCTACACGGTCCTGAAGCTGAAGGCACAGAATGCACGCATGCTTCGGCTGCCAAAGCATGCCGTGCTCCCTTTGCTCTTTGCGAGATGCTGCTGATACGGCACAACCATTTCAACCTGAATGTTGTTTGGGGGCTGGTCAACGGCGAGACCCCAGCGTCGGTGGCAAGAAACCTGACTGCATTCAGCTATCTAGAAGCATGCAATCCCGAGCAACAAACACATCGCAGAACCCAGGCTCGAAGACCATCCGCGAGTTCCGAAAGACAGTCTTTACCTTGTCGTGGTGCGTGGGCTGAAACTGCTCTCACACGTACACCGGGTGAGAGGAACGAACTCATTGCAAAGGGCAGCGCCAAAATCCGAGCAACAGCAGCTCCGCCTGTTCGAGAAGAAGAAGAACCTCGCACATCGACGTCCGGCTGACGATCACCGAGCAGCAGCCACAGAACGCGGCAACAGCATTACGCCAACAACAAGGGTCGCCTGCACGAAACGTCCGCCCGACCTCCCAGAACGCAACTTTCTGGACGCGAGACATTTGCGTCGAGTCGCCTCGTGCGACCGAAACGATGCGAAGGCAAGTGACATCTTCCTTTCGAGGCACTGCTTTACCCATGCCTGTTCTAGCAACCATCAGTCATCTTCCCGAACCGAGCTCATACACCCGCAGTGGACGGCATGGACGGGACTAGTTCTAGAATGGCGCGGGCAGCGTCTACTCTGTACCGTCGCAGCAATCGTTTTGCTTTCCCGGCAGGAAGAACTACGCATAGCGCCGCAAGGGCTCGCATCAAATGTGGACGAGCTCGCCGGGCCCTTGTGATGCAGTCGCAAGAGTGTAGCCGCACAGAGATAGTCGATTGTGCAACACGTGACTGAGTCTCGCGAATCTCCGGACAACCTTTCCGCTTCCAGCCAGAGACCTCGGAGCTATCGTTTTTTGTTTCACTCTTCTTTTGCTTCATGTCCTTCACCTTCGAAGTTTATCTGCTTCGTGGCAAGACCGCTATACAGTCGCAGCAGACGCCTGCGCAACCGTAGACGCTTTGAAGCGGCGGGCACTGTCCGCACTCGGCGTTGCAAGGGTCCGGCTGCTAGACTCCTCAGGACGCTTATTGGACCGTGGCAGCATCAGCATCAAGAAGGCCAGGCTGCTCAGTGGCGAGTCTCTGACTCTGCACTGCAGTGTGCCTCAGGTTCACCGCGCGCAACAGGCCGGATCACGGCGGTGACTCGAACGTCGTGCAGCATCGCCTGCGCGACTTTCGAGCGATCCAAGCAAGCTGGAATGCCTTTGCCGCCATGCAGAACGACGGCTCCAGCACAGCTGTGCCGGAACAATGCACGAACGTGATACAGGTCCAAGCCACCGCGTTTGCTTTCGCCGCGCTCCTCGCCGATGGATCTGGGGGTCACCCCGGGCAATGCCAGTGACGGAGGTGACAGCAACACGGCACAGGCACAGCTCCAGAATGTGCAACAAGCCCGCGTAGACGCAATGTAAGGCTCAAATCCTCTGAACCCTAAACCCTAAATCCTTAAACCCCTAAACCCCAACTCCTCAATTGTAAGCCCGAATCCTGAACCCTAGTTTTATAGTCTTTCAGACCCTTGCCCTGGGAATTTTGGCTTCAGCCGCGCGACAGGATGCAGTAGAGCTCTCATGCCTTAAACCCAATATCCCTGCATTAAGGCAAGGTATACCTAGGAGGTAGGGTTCCTTTTAAGGCGTCCATAAGGGATCTATAGGGTTTAACTTATAGGGTTTACCGTTTAGGGGGTTCCAATATCCCGGAATAGAAGAACATACCTTAAACCATAGCAGGATCCCTAATATAAATGATGTATTCCTTACTAGAGGGATATTGGAGTCTTTGGGAACCCCAGTACCTTAAACAGCGTATAGGCGTCTATTAACCCCTATAGGATCCTATAGGTATGTATACTTGTAGGAGAGTTTATACACACCCCTAAGTTTACAACTTCACAGGACGGAAACTTGCTTCTGTGCACAGTCCTCCTGGGAAACGTCATGGTCAACTCGTACCCGCCAAGATTACTTTGGGTTTGGGGTTCAGGCGTTTGGGCTTCTTTTGACCATTTTGAGCCGGGTGTGGGACGATAATGCAATCCAGTTTTCACGCGTTTTAGGTTCATGGACAACCCAGTAGTTCGTAGCTGCAGGTTTGACATTGAAAAGCCACCCCAATGCACTAACAAATAACACATTAGACGTACTTTTGACCCCTGGGGCAAGCCAATGCACGGAAGCCAAGCCTAGGTTAAAACAATCAGCCATGATGTTTGTGGTTTATCAGACGTTCCTTTCTAACAGCTTTAATACTCCTTTATGCTCGTGCTACACAGCGGTTTGGCTATGCTTGTCCGCATATTTTTGTAGTAGAACCGAATTGAGAAAATTCCGAGAGAAAAGTCTGCAGATCCAGGAATCTTCCTTCAACCGCAAATGCGAAACCCAATCAGCTTTGAATTCCTTACTCCTTAATGGTAGTAGTAGGGATCTGTCAGCAGTGCATTGCGTTCCTGGTTAAGATTCGTCCTCGGATTAAGATTTAGCGGTTTAGGCTTAGGCTTAGTCAGGAATCGGGGTCGAGTCAGGTGGGTTCAGGATTTAGGGCTGAGACTAGCCTCATGCCTCGATCCTGAAACCCTTTTAAGGTACAGGGTTTCATAAGGGTTTAAGGTTCTATAAGGTTTCTATACAGTGTCTTGGGGAGGCTGTTTCTTGGGTGCCAGGGTTGTTACTTGGAGGTTCATGGGCAATCATACGTAGGTTATAAGTAGGGTATCTATACTTATAATCTGTATTAGGGGAGTGAGAGCCCCACTTATAATTACCCATGAACCTCCAAGTAGTTCAAACAGCTGCCGACGCAGACTTGCATCGTAGCTAAGTCACAGCAGGCACAAAGAGCCTCTGCAATATGTCGCGTGCCCTATAGGTTTCTCATTCGCAGCCCATCAATTATCGTCTTTCATCCACGGCAGCATACTTCCCGAAGAACTCCTAAATTAGTTGATCTAACGATGTTGCCGTCGCTTGTGTAGAACCGATTCAAACCCGCTGTAAAATCTCGGCCCTGCCTGAAAGCACGTTGTGATAGGTAACTTTGTCATAGTTGGGTAACATTTTACATTTTTTATGGGTACTTGAACCCAATAAGGAATAAAAATGTACATGTTTAATCCTATCCCAACAATGAACTAGGTAATTAACAGTAGGGGTGTGAGCGCCTTACTTGTGATTTCAACAGCGCGAATTGAATATGAGCAGCAAGCCATATGGGTAGTTCCCAGATCCCCAAGACAGTACGGGCCCCGTATGATACAAAAGGGCCCTGGGCCCTGGGAGGGACCCGTATTTTAGAGAACTACCCACATTTTTATGTTATTAGCCCTGCAACTCGAATTCTACACCCTGAACCCTTTCAGGGTTTAGGATTTGGGGGTTTCCGAAAATGGGGGACCCTAATATAGTACTGTAGATAGTAGGATCCTTGTTATAAGGACCCCAGAATACAGTACCCCTAATTTTCGAAAACTCCCATATATGCCCTAGCAATTCTAGTACCCTTATAGATCTCTTATAATAACCCTTATAGACCCCTTTTATCGGAAACCTATTCCTACGGTTTAGGGTAATGTAGGAACCTGATTAAGAAACCCTGGGCCTATAACCCCAAAATAGTAGGATCCATCGAAGGAACCCGGATAAAAGCCCAAGGTTTCTTAATCAGGTTCCTACATTACCTTTTTTGATGTTCGGCGACTTCGGCTCGCAGCTTCTGAGCTCCACAAGACGGTCCCAAAGCCTGGGTCTTCGCAGAGATGAGCAAATATCGATTCTGAGAAAGATAGGGATTACCTTTACTACTTTGGGGGTTCCTTTAAAATTCAAGAGCCACTATGTCGGCTTGTAGAGAGCAGGTCGAACCCTGCTCGGCACCGATTCAAGGAGTCCTCCGAACCGGTTAACTCTACCTTTTTTAGGACTTCTACAACGTAATCATAATAATACTAGTGTATAATAAACATAATAGTACTACTGTATACGAATCATAATTATCATAGGGTTCAGGCTTTCAGGCAAGACCTAAATACACAGTTGCCATCGCCATGGCGTCGACGAACCCTCCCCAACAGGCAGCCCAACAAGCCGCGCACGCGGCACTGTATTCGCCGCTCATCTCCTTTGGATGCATACTTGGAGGTTCATGGGTAGTTATAAGTGGGGTTAGAACTGCCCTAATTTGGGTCATAAGTATAGTTACCCTACTTATAACCCTACTTAATAACTGCTCATGAACCTCCAAGTAGTCATCAGCGTTTATAGGGATTAGGGTTTTTGGGTTTAGGGGTTTAGGGTTTGGCAAGTGTAGGGGTTGTCGTCAGGGTTTAGGGGTTTAGGGTGATAGAGTTCAGGGATTAGGGTTTAAGGGTCTTGGGTTTAGGGGTTTAGGGTTTGGCAGGTGGGGGGGTTGTCCTTAGGGTTTAGGGTTTTTGGGTTTAGGGGTTCAGGGTTTAGGGGCTAGGAGTTTCGGAGTTTAGGGGTTTAGGGTTTAGGGAAAGCACCTCGAAACTCTAGACAAATTATTCAAAAACCGTGTAACGAGATTGCGGAGCAGGGTTTACTTGGTTTTGGAATTCCTTCAGAAGAACACCAACCATGATTTAACAAGGGGCTTCCTGGAGCAGCACATGCTTTGGTTGTAGTGAGAGAGAGATAGAGCTTCTGTTTGCAGGCGTATTGCATCCAAACCTAAACGCACCCCAAAGCCCAAATTACCCTGGACGCGTTCTCGGCTTGCAGGCTATAGGCTGAAGGTAGCAGCTTTTCGTCGCCGAACCTGTGAGCCTCATCCCACTATCGTAAGACCCAGATCAGTTCAGCATCGCGAGCCACCAGATCCTGCACTGCACGCCCCTGAATCCTTGTTTCCGGCTTCTTATCGCCCCAGAGACTCGCAGATGAGCAATGCTATTATGGTTTCTTAAACCATATTCGAGTTTCCGAACATAGGGGACCCTAGTATAGTACCCTAAATCGAGGACTTAGTAGGATCCTTATTGTAAGAACCCCAAAATAAGGTACCCCTAATTTTCAGAAACTCCCATATTAGGCCCTGTATCGGAGTCTCCTGTGCCCGAAACGATCCGGTTCAGGGCTTAGGGTTTGGAAGCCCTGTGTCTCTCAAAACCTGAAGACGAGTTGTGCATTTGTCGAGTTTGAGCGGGAGATCATGCATCCAGAATCAACAATCTAGGGTTCAGGGGTTATATGGTTTAGCCTTTAAGGTTGAAGGTTCATGGGTTAAAGTTTAAGTACGGTGAAGGGTTGAGGGGCTTGGCCGTGCCAGCAACCCACCAAGTACCCTTCACTCGAGCTCTTATCTGCGCTCTTCTACTCAAGGCACCGTTCCATTCGGTCGCGGTGTTAGCGCTTAAATATAGTCTAGACCCAAAGGGTCCTATGTACTGTTATGGGGAATACTTCCCCAAATCATAATAGTAATTCCTGATATAGAAACCCTACATTCTACTATATCGGTACTTTGGACCCTTTGGGAGATTCAGACACGGTCTAAGATTGGCATTCCGGGGCTGAGGGGCCTGAATAGTTGGATTGGCGTTTTAGGCGTTATATGAAATTTATCGGGAACCCTACGGGATACTGTTGCTCGGCATTGTTGCCCTTTTATCGGGCCTTGTTAGTACCAAGCAGTTCTGAAAGGGTTTATGGTGAAACATCATGGTGCTTTGGAAATCCGTTGCACAAGAGGTGTTGAGTGTTAATATAGTGGTCCATTTAGTTACCAATACTATTCTAGGGGCTCCTTATTAAAATTATGGCATAACGGCCCCCTGTTGATATGTGAACAGCACCTGTCAACGCGTTCAGTGTGTGCCCGCTTTGGGCGAGCCGACCTGCTGTTGCTTTACTGGCGATTTAAACAAAACCCCAAACCTTACACCTGAAACCATAAACCCTAAACCTTAAGCCGTATCAAGGGCCATCAGCTAAAGGGAACTCCAGAAAGTTGGAATATGGATTACTGGGATCCCCTATAATTTACCATAAAGGGATTACGATACTGATATTCCAACTTTCTGGCTTCTATTGTGAGGGGATCCCAGCTCAGGTATCTGCAAAGAGAGGATGGGGACGGGCTTCACCGTCAGGCCGGATGTTGGTTCCTTCACGGGTTCTTTAACAGGGAACTAAGGGATCAACTAAAGGGGCTATTATAAGGATATAGGCGCCTGAATAATTACCTATACAATTGGTGGGGTCCCGTATCAACCATTGTAGAATATACCCCAAAACCCTATTCTAATTATCAAGGCCCCTAGACTAAACCTTGACCTTAAGGACCTGTATGACTCCTTCCATGCATCAAAAGACGAAGGCAATCGCCAGATCTTTATAAGCTACATTCACGCCATGTTGAATGTGTCCAACGCCGAATTCTGGCTGAGAAAATGTCCCCAGCAATCCACGCACTTTCGAAGCAGTATCAGCACCAGGAGGCTGGTGATGATCAGGTGAACCCCATCGTGGACGAGGTCTTCGCAAAACTGGCGCGCTGAGAAGGAGGCTTTGCTCAACCCGAAGCCTGCTCCCATGCACCAGGTCGTCACGGAAGACGACAAGCTTTGGGAGGCACCGGACATCGCGAAAGCAGCCGAACTTCGTCATGTCGCCCTGGTCCCGCCGTTGGATAAAGCCATCCGCAAAGACTTGTACTCAACCCTTAAAGTAGACCTTACAGGCCCCTTACAGTACGTAACCCTTTTAAAGGGATCCCTTTAAAGGAACCTTATTTTAATTAGTAGTTAAGGCCCTTCATTAGGGTTGTATAGCCGGCTCAGTTTCTGGGAGTTTGCGGTATGATGTAGGATCCTGATTAAGAAGTTCGGGCTCAATAGGTTCCATATTAAGAACCTTAGTCACGAGATAGGTTTTCTTACTCAGGCTCCTACATCAGGGATGAGGAGTTTTGATTCTACGGTGTAGGGTTTAGGAAGTACACGTTGCTGCATACCTGAGTTGGTAACCCATACTTGGAGGTTCACGGGTCGCTATAAGTAGGGTGATAAGTAGGGTAGCTGTACTTTAACTTTAACGCATATTAGGTGACTTATAACCGCACAAATAACTACCAATGAACCTCCAAGTAACCTAACTGTTCGGCTGTATGCATTCCTATGATGTTTGCAAGGGAAACCTCTTCTGGTCCGGGAACTCAGCAACTAGGTTTAGAGTTAGGGTTTAGGGTTCAGGGTTTAGGGTTCTTGAGGTTTTGGGTATTATGGGACAAGGGCCATTCTTGCCTGTGTTGTTGCAGCTCGGATAATGGTTGCTACTACAATAAACAAGGCCTGCGGATTTGGGGGAGCAGTTTTTTTATGAAATGCTTCAGGGATCTCCCGATTTCTCGAGCTGCTTCGGAAGATTCCGCCTGAGGGTGACTAACCTTGCTGTCTTCTGCCCCCCCCCACTATACCCTTCAAGGCATGGCGGCGGAGTCCCGGCTCTACCCCAGAGTCCCCAAGACACGGTACCGATTTAAGGCTATTCTTCATTAAAGCCCCTAGTTACCCTAGTTATAGCAGATTTTGATGATTGTGGAAGCCGACGCCTAGTAATTATACTAAATCCCAACGCCCTCAAAGCAAGACGTCTGCAAAAGGTGTCCGATCGAGGGAAGGCACAGGGGCAGTCAGGGTTGAGGAGTTAAATATATGGGGGTTTCCGAAAATAAGGGGTTCCATATTTGGGGGTCCTCATAACAAAGACCCTACTATTCAGGGCACTATATTAGGGTCCCCTATTTTCGGAAACCCCCATATGGGCCTGAATAATTACCAATATGATTGTGGGGGTGGCGAGTCGTGTCGTCTTCACAAAACAGCACCCTACAAGCATAGATCATTCAAGACCGATTGAACATATCAAACCAGCATAAGGAGTCCTAAAAGGCAGCTTATTTGGGGCTCGAATAGTTCCGGCATCGGAGTGTCCAGTATTTCGAAATTTAGGGTTCGGGATTTAAGTTTTTCTCTGAACCTGAGGAAATGTCTAGGGTTTGGGATTTGGGGTTCAGGGTTGTTCTGTGAGTCTGGGATGATTTCTCAGAACGGATGAGGAAGATCATATGCGCGCCTCGTCCATCGATATAAGGATCCAAGACCGCTCAAAAACGTCGTAATATCCAGAAAATGCATGAACATTACTTCAGAACAATTGTCAAGCGGCATTAATTAAAACTCAAATTTCTATCTTGATACAAATTTATCCTTGACAAGTTAGATAAATTTCTTGATCTTCAAGAACGGACAGGGTTCAAGAGTCACTATGGTATATACTTAGACCCCCAAAATACCCTATAAGTACATACCATAGTGATACTTGGACCCTTTGGGGAAACATCTTCACCCTATCCCTCCAAGGACCTCATAGCTAGGGCCCTAGACCCCTTAAGGACCCCAGAATAAGGTCCCTGGAGGCATACTTGGAGGGTCGGGGGACTTAGTAACTGGTTAGTTTAAGGACTTATAAGTACCATAACCCCAAGTAGGGTCCCTCTTAGGGTACTTATAAGTCTACTTACTACCTACTTACCAAGTCCCCCGACCCTCCAAGTAGGGTTCAAAAATGGATAGGGTTCAAGAGTCGAGGCGCCGGGCTCAACGCAAAACTGTATCCCCTCCCACCGCAGACCCTACTTGGAGGTTCATGGCTATGGGTAGTTAGAAGTGGGGTTCCTTTAAGGGGCTCTTTTGGGGATTAGGGTTTGGGGTTTAGAGTTTAGAGTATAGTAGGATTATAGGGTTTTGGGGTAGGCATAAGTGGGGTTATGCGCCCGCTACTATGGGTTATAAGTATAGTTACTTTACTTTTAACCCTACTTCTAACTACCCATGAACCTCCAAGCACCTGTGGGGATGTAATGTTGGCATACTCGTGGTGGAATCCCTGTACGACTATAAGAGGTTTCACTCCCTGATCCAATGAATGTAGGAACCTGATTAAGAGAACAGTAGGATCCATATAAGGAGCCCCATAATGAAGGCCCAAGCTTTCTTAATCGGGTTCCTGCATTATGCCTGCTTCTTTGTCACTCCGCAGGCTAAACTGTTAAGGCATGCCAAGGCTTTTCGGCCCCACCACACTCCTGTATTGCGCTGTTGGGCTCTCTTGAGTAGAGCTCTGGGAGAGGGTTTAGGGTTGAGGGAGTGTCGGGATCCTCTAGGGCTTCATTCAAGGGTTCAAGGAGAGAGTCGGGTTGCCTTGAGGATTCCTTCAAGGATTCCTGCGAGGGGTACGGGAGGGTTCTCCACATCTTTCGAAGTAGGGCTTGAGACTTTAGGCGGTTCCCAAGGTTCCTTGACGGGCTTCATAGGAATTCCATAGGGGTTCTAGGGTTCCGACTATAAGGGTTCCCGAAGGGCCTACAAGGTGTTAGGGTTGCGGGGGCTCGGTAGTCTGGGATTCAGGGTTTTGATGTTCGGCAGTTTGGGGCCAGGGTTTTAGAGCTTGAGGCCTTGAGAGTCTTAAGCTTCGAGGTTTAGGTGTAGGTATAGGTGTTGGAGATTCAGAATGCCCCCTCAAAATCTCCTGAATGTCGAATTGCAGTTATCCGTGCCAAGTTCCGGATTTGGAGTCAAGCCTTTACATTAAAGGAGCTTCCAGCAGCAGACTGTGTCCTATTCATTGTGCTTAGGGTCATGCTTTGAGCTCTGGGGTACCAGCATCATGGAATGAGGTCCCTCAAACCATGTAAGGATGGTCTCTTGGGACCTGGTTCCATATTGGTAGTATATATGGAAGGTAGTAATGAACTATACCGGTGGGGGTAGTTACTATATCCCCCTAAACCCTTAACCTACCGGAACCTCGGCCCACTTTCAGTGCCCGGAACTTCTTGTCCCGGCAGGCGTCGGCATCACCGTTCATGCGGCAGGACCGCGATCTATCTTCGCAGTGTCCGGGTAGAAGAAGTCGAAGCTTAAACCCAAGCACGTAGCCCTGAATTCCGATCTGAAAGCCCTGCAGTACTTGCCCCGCTGCATGCCAGACGTAAGCCCCAAACGGCGGCGACGACACTACCACCGCCGACGCCACCACCACCATCACCAACAACAACAGTCGCCACAGCACAGCCCTAACCGCCCCAACCACAACGGCTGCGACAAGTGGCAGTCAGAGATCCCCCCCAATTCGTAAATGGAAAGGCTGGGGGACGATACCCCCCTATTTCCAATTACCATTTCCATTTACAGGTTCCCGCCGGGATAAGCGTTGGCTACCCAGGATATGCCAGGATATTGACGTTCCAGGGCTTTTATTTCCGTTTATCACTTTCGGGGTGGCTAATTCAATATATATATATATATATATATATATATATATATATGGGCGCACCCCTATTTGGGGTCCCCTACGGTTTTCGCTATACCAACTGACTCGGTTATAACCACCAGACTAGGTTATAACCAGCCGACTAGGTTATAATCAGGTGTACGTCATCGACTACAGTATTATATCCGGTTTGAAGACTAACCCGGGAAGTTGCAACAACCCATGCTTTCAGAATGCTGAAACCCGCACAACGCTAAGAATTCTATGACACCCTCGTCGAAACCCTGTTACAATGTGCTAAAATCCTTGCCTTGAAGCCGTCGATATATCTTCGTAGTTCATCTTTGTGCGACTGTATCTAAACCGCTGTATTTCAGTTTTTTCCAACAAGCGCGCTGTAGTCATGAGTCTGCTTCAGTCATTCCTTATCGCGAACTAGATTTTGGAACGAAAAGTTCTCCATCTTTGTACTGTAATGCCGCAATCCCACCAAAGTCTCTGTTGTTGGACGCATTGCTATGACGTTTTGGCAAACTGATAGCTTTCAATGACATATCCCTGTGCCCCTATGTGATTGCTTTTAAACACTGGTATATCCGGTAGGTGTATTTGAGTGGTGCATTCCTTAATTCTGTATGACGGCTGCCCCAAGCCAAAATTGAAAACTTGCATACTACAAGCTTAGCAAACGTTGTATAGTGTTTTTCCTGGGGGACGACATGAAGCGTCGCTTCTTAGGACGCGCACTGTCTCTATATGCTGAATGATGAAGCCTGTGTTTTTTTGTATCAGCAACTTTAACCATCACGTAAAGCCGACTGAAAACCATAAGGCTACATCTAGCTTGTCCGAATTTCTGTTTGTGTTCTTGTGAATATTCACTGAAGGTCGAATAGAAGCCATTGTTCCCAGTCCAGAACGTGATCCTCGTGTTAGAAAAAGTGGTAACCACACACCGAATCACTCTTCGAAAGAGGTTCATCCATGTAGTTGGAAATAGCAGTGCTAGGAATTTTCTACGTACCGAGCGAGGAAACCTAACAATTTGCAAGTTGCAAATTTTGTTTCGCTCACCACACATATTCTTATCAGTTTTGTCTCGTCGAAATCCGGCTTCCTTGGAACGATGTTTGAACATAACGTTGCAACCAGTTTGCTTATGTACGAAGTGATGAAACCTGACCACGCTGTAAAGTTTGAAATACTGTCTCTCCCCTACAATGACGTCGTATCAGTCGTATCTCAACTTTCTGTGTACCGTGATATTCCAATGTTGACAACACTTACTGACCTACTGTAATCCCGATAGAGCCCCTTCATATTCCGCATTTTGATTCCTGGGTGAGTGACATGTTAGCGGCTATTCTCTCAATGTGTACACTGCTCTCATAAACCCGATGTACTGGAACGGACAGACCATTATGTAAAGTCCGCCATATAGCCTTTCCGCTAAAGTTGGGGAATGCGCACATGGTCCCCGGAATTATGTTTGTTACAGAGCACTGCATCATGCCTCAGCAACTGAATACATGCCAATTACCTCGGACCCTCTATTCTTCTAGTCCTTGTTTAAGTTCATTGCGGTTACATTCACTGAGACACCGAAACTTTCGAACGTTTGGATTTAGGTGTTGATGAAGTAGCGGTGGCACAGGCCTGGTTATAACCTCTGTCCCCGGTTATAACCAGGACACCTGCGTAGTACACAGCCCTAGACCCATCACTAAACCACTAAACCATCAACAAACCATTAAATTAGTACACCGTTAAACCAATCCTTTCCCCCAATGGACCCATACCAATAAACCATTAAACCATTAAACCGATCCTTTTGCCCCATACCACTAAACCATTAAACCATTACACCAATCCTTTACCCCATACCACTAAACCACTAAACCATTAAACCATTAAACCAATCCTTTCCCCCAATGCCCCTAAACCACTAAACCATTAAACCATTAAACCATTAAACCAATGCTTTCGGCCCATACAGGGATGTGTCTCTCTCTATAGGGGAAATGATTGGTTTAATGGTTTAATGGTTTAGTGGTATGGGGCAAAAGGATTGGTTTAATGGTTTATTGGTTTGGGTCCATTGGGGGAAGGGATTGGTTTAATGGTTTAATGGTTTATTGGTTTGGGTCCATTGGGGGAAAGGATTGGTTTAATGGTTTAATGGTTTAGGTGTGCAAAAACCCAGGGGACCCCATAAAGGGGGTACCCACATATATATATATATATATATATTGGAGATCCGAAGTAGTGCACAGTGCGGCCCAACAGGACTGATGTCAAAACGAACCGAACCCACTCCATCGCAAAACCTTCGATCTCGAAAATCGGATCTGCGTGATCTCGCTTCGTATCTTCTCCGATATATAAATATATATCAGTCGCAGTTTTGTGTGCAGTCCTGCGGTTGCTTGCGCATGCTTTAGAACCTGGCCTCAGGCATTTTGCCTCATGCATTCATGGGCGGCAACCGAGATTCCCGATGTCCCTACCTAATATCCTTCCAATCCATAGCCCCGGGATCGTGCATCGGACTTTCGGCAGCTGCACAGCTGGACTTCATTTTTTGATTTAAGATTATGAGCCACTCTAACGGCATTGGGGGAGTTGGGTTTAGGGTTAAGCCACCCTTGTCGGCAGGGGTTTTAATTACTAGAATAAAAAAAAAATATAAGCCACTATGACGGCACGGGGGCGGGTTTAAAGCCAGTAGGTCGGCACAGGGTTGACGAATTGCAGATAAGCACAAACAGCACAGACAGCACAGCAGCCGATAGCCATGGGGTGGTCGTGCTGGTTTCGGTCATATGGGGGCACGAGGAGGGAATGTCGGTGCCTCGTCTTTTCTTGTGCTTCGGCTGCTGATTCCGGGCTGCATGATGCTGCGTATGCTACCGAGTTCAATTCCAGTTTGGGGGCTTGGGCGTGCAGTCGGAGCTTTTCCGATCGAAGAAGCAGGCAGGTGCCGGGAGTGCGAAATTTGGGGCGGGGTGTCCTGGTGGATTGCTGTAGGCGGACAAATGGGCGAGAGCCAATGGTGAAGCGGAGGCACGGGGTTAGGTGAGTTCTAGATTGTAGTGTCATTGAAATTTTCTTATGCCGGGCAGGTGCCTGAGTGGCTGAAGAGTGCAGCCGTGGAAGCCACTACTTCAGGCGATCATGGTTTTGCCAAGGAGGCAGATCGCTTCTTAGCTCCGGTCTTGATCCTATGGAGACCTTTAAAATCCTTTAATTGCAGGAGTCGTCTTCATCCGCGGCATTGGTACCGGCGGTCGTGGCCTTGAGTTCCTTTGCCTGTGGCTTGTAGCCTTGGCCGTGTTTGCCGCAACTCAGAACGGTGCATCAGCGGGTCCCACTTCGTCAGCTGTGAGGGCCTTGGGTTTATTTTTTGTTTGGGGTGGACGGCTAGGGTTCTGTGGGGTGTCTTGGCCTCGGCTTGATGTAATCCCCCGCCCTGGCCCACTGGAGGCTGATGCAATGGCCGACGGGCTTGCATCCGAGGCTTGGGCCGGTTCGTTCGGTTCCCTTTCTGGATTCCTTGGCCTTTATTTTTCTGGAGGTGCCAGAGGATCACCCACCATTGCCGGACGAGGCTGCATGCATTGCCTGCTCCGTGCATGGCCTGAGCGAGCTCCCTTGCAGGACCCCGGGCAAGACCATCATTCTGTGAAGGCCGCTTACTTACGGGTATGTGAGTTGTTCAGCTTTGGCAGATTTGGTTACCTGGAGGCCTCTGCATCTTCGGTTTCGGTTTGCGGGGTTTGGTGGGGTTCTGATGGGGTCTGGGTGCTTCGTCCGAACATGTCAGGATTCCCCAGTGAGAGCGGTGGCTCCTGCTATCACGGTGCGCCCCTTTGATGATTCGGGGATTGTGGGGGTTTGGACGTTGTGTGGGTCTGGGTGTTCTTGGGGTTGTGGGTTCCGGGTGCTTGCCGCTTAGATAGGGACATAGTGCTATGCCGGACTGCTTGTTTGTTTTTTTGGATGTGGCTTCATTGGTGCCAGTGGCCTGGACCTTGTCGGGGCTGGCCGGTTGGCTGTTGCCGGACCTTTGGTACCTTCCGGCCCAGGTCGTGTCTCCGGCTTCGCAGGTTGTGGCCGCGGCCTTGGGTGATGCGTTCGCCCTGTTGTTTCGTCTGGTTTGCTTCTGAGTGATTGGAGGGTTTTCGGTATGTTTTGGGTTGGACTGTCGACTGGATCTTCGAATGCGTTCGGCATTGATTGTCTCTGAGGCCAGGGACCCATCTTCTACGGATGACTCCGCCGGGAAGCAGAATGAGGCTCTTGCGGTGGTTGGGGTTCCTTCTGTTCGGTGGTGACTGTAGTGCCCTGCAAGCCATATTGGTTGGTTGGCCGAAACAGTAGAGAGGTTTGGAGTAGATCACATGTGTGACGACCCCGCCACGTAACCCCCTCTCCCACCCATCTCCTAATCCGGACTTGTTGTGTCAGGATGCATCTGGCGACAAGCATCCGGTGGAGTCGAAGGTCGGCCCTCTGTGCTTTGCTTTGTGAGGGGTTCGGGGGTTGTGGGTCCCGGGTTTTCGCTTTGGTGGGGAGTGCAAGCGAGTGCCCTCGACCGAATGC